AATTCATCCTTTTATTAATTTTAAAACACCTAGCACACTTCTCAGAAATTAAATAGGCATGGCTCATTTTTAAAATAACACTAAGCATTTAATTCTCAGAAAGAGACAAGACTCCTCAGTTTGCTCTCAAGAAAATATAGTTTTAACAATGAAAAGAATTTGTATAATACATTGATAGCAATGAGAGTATCATAAAATTATTAACTAATAAGGAACAAGCAGATAATTAGCCAGCATCTGAGGATTTCCTGCCTGCCAGGCACTATATAAAGCATTTACACACACTCTCATTTAATCCTTACCACAACCCAATAGGCCAGTGCCATGGGGTCCATATTCTAGGTAAGGAAATTGAGGTGGAGAGGTTTAGTGAGCTTGCCCAAGATCTCGCAGCTGGTAAGTGGTGGAGTGGGGCTTCCTACCACCAGCTGGCTTTGGAGCCTGCACTGCTGACCATTCCTCCATACTGCCCAAAGAACCGGCTGCTTGATGAGGTGGTGTGGTAAACTGGACTTGGGATCACCAGTCTGCAAAAACCCACACGGAGCTTCCCTCATCTCTGCATCTAGCTCTTTCTGGCCTTGGGCAAGTCGCAACTTCTGCAGACCTTGATTCCTTACCAAAACATGGAGACATTGAATCCAATGATCTCTTACTATCCTTTCTAGCTCAAACTCTGAATCTTTTTTATGAATCAATGCAGGAGGGAGGAGTACAATGTGAATAGCCCTTTGTGACTAAGGAAAAAGGATATCTGCTCTTGAGAATGGGTTTTTGACGTTCCTAACAGCTCCACAGAGTTGGGGAAAACCCAAGGAAGAGCAGTATGAGAAACGGGATATGATTGTGCAGGAGGGAGGAGTACAATGTGAATAGCCCTTTGTGACTAAGGAAAAAGGATATCTGCTTTTGAGAATGGGTTTTTGATGTTCGTAACAGCTCCACAGAGTTGGGGAAAACCCAAGGAAGAGCAGTATGAGAAACGGGATATGATTGCTCATCTAGAAAATCAAATCCAAAACCAAACACGGAAATTGGGGGAAAGGAAAATATGATTAAGAAGCCTTCAAAATATCTACCAAAATGTCTTTCACTTTAGAATGAAGAAATACTTGAAAGCAGTCACGATGAGCTGGAGCAGCTTGCCAGTCACGAAGACCTTCCCCCCAGCAGGTAAGACTGGAGATCCATTGGGGGGATTAGGATGGGGAGGGTGCAGGATATGTTCTGTTTTAAATCTCATCACTTATCTTTCCCAGATAAAAATCACGGTATTTATTCTATATTCTAACCTTCATTTATGTACCTAAATACAAAACTAATGAATCTCACAAAAGCAACAAGCAAAAGACCTGAAAACATTATCTTATAAACCAAACTTCCAAGGATAGTGTTTTAAAAAAATGGAATTTCAAGAAATATTAAATGTGAACCAGTGTTAATATTGAATCATTGGTTTAAACACATGTAAAGGATCTTGATTCCCCAAAGACACAATTTATACAAATTTAATGCTATTTTTGGTCTACAGGAAGGTGTTTGAACACATGTGAATGCTACGCAGTTCAGAAAGCCTAAATTTGGGAGGTAAAGACCAAAAGCGTAAGGGGAAATTCACTTTTAAAAAAACCTTTCTACTCAGAGTCCCCATCGTAACCCTCATTCTAGCACTTGTCACATTATTTATACCCACATCATTTAATTTGTGAGCTGCTTTTATCCCCAGGGTCTATCATAATGCTTGGCTCTTACCTGGCCTTGAAAAACTCCTGCAGAATGAATGCAGAAATATCTTTAGGAACTCACCCCTTGATTAAAGCCAATATTAGTTTAATTAGACTACTTTATATTCTTTCACTTTAAGGTATACTCAAGGAAACGTATGTGGGCTCTTACTGATTGAAATGTATCCTTGAGTTATATATAGTGAATTCAGCATATCTAAGAGTGTACAATGGGGTCTCTGAAAAGCACCATTTGGTAATGATGTGTTCTGTTGTTTTCCTTAAGTGACAGTATATCTTTTGGGACTTTTCTATTACTAAAACCCATACCTATTTTTATAACTTTAGAAGTCTTAGTTAAATGTATTCTTTAAGTTAGTTCATGAATTATTGTGTTAATTTACACAATAATCACACTGCTAATGAGAAACACAAAAGAAAAAAGTTATAGCATTTAACTAATGAAAGAAAAATATCTTTATGTTCTTGCAAAAGAACTTTGAGAAAAGGCAAAATTAGCCAGAGAATTAATCAGGAGATAGGAGAATCTATAAGACTCCTGTTTTTGTTCCACCTCTAGCTTTGAATGAATGCCTTAAGATCACCAATCTTTGCTGCACAGTTTAATCTGTATTTCCTTATTTACTCTTGATTTTATAGATTTTATAGATTTGAGTTTCAATGCATAACTCATATAAATTTGTTGGGGCTAGAGTGGATAGGTACAATATGCTTGACATGTAGAAAACATTCAGATTTTGTTGAGTAAATTATAAACTTTTAAGTAATATAGGTCAAATGTTATACCAGATAGCACCCATTAAAGATTCTGAATAATTAATCTCTTTTCATATTTGGATGTCTTGCCGGAATAACATTACCTCATTATATTTGGGAAAAAATGATTTTGAGTACTATGTGATAGACCGGTGCTGAGTCCCTACCTTCAGAATGTACATCATAAGTAGGAAAAAACACATGGAACAGGCAGTACAATAATATATTTGATTTGGGGAGGAGGGCAGGAGGACATGCTTAACGAAGGAGTGAAGGTAGTGTTGGATTTCCAAGATTTCAACAGGTAGAAGAGAAACAGTGCTCCTGGCAAGGAAATCAACTTAACAAGGTATGGTCATGAATGAGATTGTGATGGGTATTAGTAGCAGTAGGAAAAATCAAGGAAGAAAGAAAGATTACATAGGGCCTTGAAAACCAGGTAGAAGAGTTTAGATTTGATGCTGGAGGCAGTAAGCAGCCTTTGAGGTCTAAAGCAAAGGAATATTGTAATGAAAGCTGTGATTAAGGCTTGTCTTGCTGCAGACATGATTAGAAGGAAAAGAGTCAGGAAGATTTCTAACATTCTTATAACATTATTAGAGCAGAATGAATAACCGTGCATATCAAGAGTTCTCTGGTTTCCTTCTCATTGCATCTATGGTGTCCAATTAAAGTCCCTAACAGGACTGGCTGGTTTGCTCAGTTGGTTAGAGTGTGGTGATGGTGACACCAAGGTCAAGGGTTCAGATCCCTGTACCAGTGAGCTGCCAGAAAAAATGAAGTCCACAAATATAGGTCAAATTAATTAATTCTTCCAAATAATCATCATTTTAGTGATGACAACTACAAACACCCCAACTAGGCCTTGCAAATCAAAAGTTCTACTAGAACCAAATAATTCAAATGCTTCCAAGTTTTAAAAAATATATAGATCAAATCATACTATATATTATGCCAAGAATTGGGCAGGAATCAGGTGAAAAGTAGATGAGAGAAAACTATGCAAATATACCAAAGCACCAAACATTCCAAAGTAGGTATAAGAGCATTCCTGACAGACATTAAGAGACTAGGGCTAAATTTGAATCTAATTTCAGACAGCTAATAATATCAAATAAAAGGAAAATATAACTTTTCAAATGGAGTCTTAAGGCACTATGGCTGCAGATTCTCATTTTATCCCTTTTTAAACAAATTATTAGGGGAGAAGAACATTGCCTCCACCTAGACATTCCAGCATAAGTCATTTAATAAACAAACACAGACATATTAGGTGGCTCCATAATGCAGAGGACACAATCATCCTCTATCCTGGGCACAGAAGCAAATGGGAACAAGAACAGAACCAAGATTGTGTAGTACACGCCTCTCTGACATAAACAGAACGAGTCGATTATGTAAACAAATGGTGTTCATGCAGAAGTTTAAATACACATCTGCTGACAATTTTTATGTTGTTTATTGAAAATCATAGATTTTTTTTAAAAAATCCACTAATTATTTTGCCATACAAGAGCAAAATTCAAATAATATAAATATTTAACATTCTGGTATAAAATTTATAATATGGAAAAAAGATGCAAACCAACTGAGAGGTAAAAAGTTTTTAACAATAACACTGTACAACCATCTTCTACTCAAGTGACCATCCAGGTTGATAGTTTATTTTCCCTTTGTTAACATTTTTTTAAAAAACAACCCTGCATTGGAGCACCAAAAAGCTTTTTCCTTCCTTTTTAAAAGGTCAGAATGCTTTTATTTACAAATATTCTTCTCAGTACTTTTAGTCTGATGAAGGAATTATCTAGCACCTTCCTTCGAAAAAAAGGAAATGCCTTCCTATTTCCTTTAAATTTAAACCTGTTCCATTCTATTCTATGCAAAAATAGAAAGATGAACACAGTTCAAGAGAGATCTTTCCACAAATAAATATTTGTTTCACAAAAGTATTGCTGTAAACAAGATCGCTTCGATGGCCAGAGAGACACTGATGTTTTCAGCTAATGGCAAAATTAAATGGCACAGGGTATATATGGTTAAAAAGCAAATGGTTATTAAGGAATCAACTAATAAAAATTAATTATAAACCCGCTTTGTCAAAATGTGCTTTTGTTCTCTATGGTTTTTCAATTGGTCAGAAAATTTAAACTGTAATGACCTAAAACTTGAACCTACTCTGAAAGCAACTACAACCTAGAATATTTGATACTGCAGTTATGACATTAGGTAAAGATGCTAAATTATCTAATTGATGTAAACAGCCTCAAATTTCAAAAGAGAAAAAAATTAACAAAAATCTGTAAACATTAAAAAGCTACGTGCTAAAAATTATAAATATTATCATCCAGTTGTGTATACTGAGAAGTCTTTTTTAGTTTTGTGTGTTTCAGACATCCTCTTAATAAATAAGACATCTTAGTTCTCCCTAACCAGTGCCTCTGCAGCCAAAGATTTTATAATCAGTTCAACTGCTTTGCTGAAGTCACTATTTTGGCCTTCATATAATTTCCTTAGCAATAGATATCACCTAATTCTTTCTGTAGTGAGGGAAGGTTGTTTGCATAAAAGTCACATTTTTATCCTGCTTTGCAAAATAAATGTAACTTAATTAGATCTCAGCCACATCTCTTTGATTACGAGAAACATGCAGCTTTACAAATGCTTTAAGCCTCATTCTGCAAGCTTTTATAAAGCATTTTTATTTTGATTTAAAGTTTGAAATATTTAAAAGATGAACACCTCTGATAGTTATTTGATGAAAGAATAGATTATTTTAGATACTATAGCTTTGATTTGATGTTTAATCTTTCAATTTAAAACTGTAAACTGGGAACAAAGTATTGTGGTTTATGAGACCTTGTTGTGGAGGGATGGGCTAATTTTAATAATCAGTGCAATGATTTAGACACTAAGATTTTATTTTATAAATTATGAAGAAGCTTTTAATGTTCTATCTTTCCTTTTGAAATCTCTTCTATTATTATATTCCTCCACACAAACTACATTCAAGCAACTACCTTAAATACAGACTAATATTGAATGTTTAAAAAACAGTTGAAAATGCATTAAATTAAAGTCAGCTTATTTGAATTAACTATTTCTCCCTAGGGAAGGACACTATGAGCAACAAATTGTCCATGTTTTGTGTTATTTTCTAATTTTTTTTTTTTTTAAAACAACCATATAAAGTACCAGTTAGGGTAGAGCTAATGACTTTTCTCAAATTTCACATTAAACTTTGAAAAAAAGATATAAATATATTTTAAATAACTCCAAGTCTATCTAATAGCTACATCGGATGTGACAGTAAGTGATTTGGCTGTTCATAATTAAATTGTGTACACTTGCCTACATCTCTTAAGAACAAAAGACTTTCTTGTGCCAGTTCCATGTACTTTCTCCTATGCCAACCCTTCCCTGCCCCCACTACCTCCATCAAGTGCTCTTTAACAAAAATAAACTTGTATACTCAGTCTAATAATATAGTCATTTCTTTGAAATGTTGTACTATACATTCACTTGGTATTTTCCAAAAGCAGTTATTCCAACACCAAGGCTTCTTAATAACTTCTCCATACCTCAATTATACATGTGGCATTAAATGGGAACTTGAATTTCCCTTTAGTTTTGTTTTCGTTCATACAAACATTCTGTAAATAAAAAATTCCTTGAAATGAATTTAGGCATTGAAGTAGATAAGTTATACTGAACAGCTTCTAGAATCAAAGAAACATTTTGATAGACTAGGCTTTCAAAATATTTCTTTGTCTTTCATATTCCTTTTACTTAGGGTACAGACAAACATTTAAAGGTTTTTCATTCAGGTTTGGCTCAGTGACAGTAAAAAAAAAAAATACAGCATTCAAGTACTATTAGACAAATGCAGCCCTACAAGGATATGTATCCACATAGCTCAATTTGCAAAGGAGAGCTATCTTAATTAACCTGCAGTATATTTGACCAAAAAAACCTTTTGAAATGGTTTTTACTTTAGAATCTGTGGCATCCTTCCAAAGGTCCTGAAGATCTTGTACATGTCCATGAGATGTCATCATTTTCTCATAGATGCAGGGATGATAAGGAGTTTTGCCTTCCCCAGAAAAAAACACATGGTACTGTGGTACTATCCCCATTTTATTGGCACAGAGGCCCATGAACACATCGTCTATGTAAAGACTAGTATTTAGTGTCTGTGATGCTGAATAGACTTTGGTGGCTACGTCACTGGAGATGACATAGGCAGCTCCAGCAGTATAGTCAGGGTAAGCCGGCCACTGGTACATTTCATAGGAGACATAGTATTTGCTGCTTTTGTCTCTAATGGGAGGGGCACCACGATGAACACGACCAATCCAGAAGTCCTGAACACCAATCTGTTCCAAACTTTGAAGGTATTCAATAAGATTTGGCATGTGGATAAATATGTCATCGTCAGCAGTCATAAGGAATTTGGCATGTGGACAAAAGGTATTTGCCCAACTGAACTGCAGAAGTAATTTAAGAGTAAGATTGTAGAAAGAATCAACAAAGTCTTGCTGAATGATATCATTGTACATTTGATCCTCCCAAATCAATTTTCTCTGCAGTTCTTCTCCCTTCAGCGGATTAGGAGTTCCTAAGACGAACAGAGTTTTGATGTTGGCATTAAGTTGAGACTGAATATACCTCTCGTTGCCCCATGTTTTTCTAATTGCAGAACGTCGATTGTAGTTTTGGGGAGCAGTCTTTACAAACAGCAAAAGGAGGACGTCTTGTGCTTGACACTTCTCCTCATGGTTAATCAAGTACGGGTAGCGAGCCCCATCGGAGCCGTGCTTAAGAGACAGGGTGTCATTCACAAAGTCATAGTTATTGATGAGGTATCGGTAAGAGTAGGACTTCATGTGGCTCACAATGTGATTATCAATTGGTTCCCAAAAAAACATGAGGCTTAGTATAAAACAAGTGGCAAATAACTGAACAAACTGCCATTTTTTGACTCTTCTGCCACTAACAAACATCCTCAAGTTCATTCAGGCCTGTTTTTAATTAGGATCAGTTTTAAATGGGCACTTGCTTCTTTGAGACCATAGAACTTTGTATTTTGTAGAACAGATGTCCCTCGTAATACATGTTGGTCATTAAAAACGGAAAAGGATCTCCTTATTTCACAAAATATTTTCTTTCAGTACCATTTTTTCTGAGATTGCAAAGGAGGAATAGAACACACTGTAGAAGGAGGACACTGTCCCATCAAAATTCTCCCAGACTGGCATCCTTCACCGAGTCCGGTGAGTGGCCTCGTGCAGCTACTCCATGTAATTCTTTTTGTGGACATTAAATGAGACCTGTCAGAGTCAAAAAGAGAACAGGTTAGTAAGTGAATGGGTTACTGAGTCACCAAAAGAAACAAACTACTCCTAGTTCCTTAAAAACCAAATGCAACCTGACTGATCTGGACAAAAGGTGATGAGGCAGTTAGTAGCCAGCAGGAGCACACAGCTGCTTATTGTTTTTGAGGAGTACAGGGAGAGGGAAAGAACTACTCTATACTGTCTTCCCAGTAAGAATGCAGAGACCCTTTTCTCCTCCCACTCTTAAAAAAAAGTCTCCAAAATGGCTATCATCTTGTATACTTGAAATTCAAATTTCACAAATGGGTATATCTATGAATATATTGACAGTCAGGATGAAAGTAGCTATATAGCCAAGGCAAAATACTAGATGAAAAGAAATTTTATAATAGCAAAAATCCCTTACAGGCTGCCCCAGACAAGGCAGGAATAAGAGTAAGTTTATTTCTTTCTTTTTAAATCAAGGTTTGCAATCAAGGAGTCAAGATTTGCTTCTCAAAAGCATAGTCCAAAGTCTCTCTGACCAAAATTACTTTGTGAGCCCCAAATCTACACAGTCATCTTCCTTCTGTACTTTCTCATTTGGAAAGAGGCTCCTCAAATTTAACATGTTCTAAACGGGGAGGCAACAGGCCAGAGCCAGCAAGCACCATCTCTGTGATCAGGCAATCTGAACACCGTGCTAGCGCAGCCACCTGCTGTTTGTTGGACTATACCGTGCACCTAACCCAGAAATCTGAAAAACTGTGGTAACACCGCTTAACTCAAAGTTTATACAGATGGGCCAGCCCGGTGGCACACTGCTACAGTGCGCCGCTTGGGAGTGCGGTGGCACTCCCACCGAGGGTTCGGATCCCACATACAGACCGGTTCCCGCTCACTGGCTGAGCGAGGTGCGGGCGCAACGCCGAGGGTTGCGATCCATTGCCAGTCACGAAAAAAGACAAAAAGGAAAAAATATATATATAATCAAATATAATACCTGTAATTCTTTCATGTGTTTTCAGCAAAGTTTGATATTAAAAACAAAAATAAGTATGCTGAAAGTCTCAGAGGAACCAATTATGACAAATCTAATAACTTATAAAAGCAATTAAGTACAATTACATACTCCAAGGCTTTCCATACTATTAAACGCACTAATGAAATACTAATTACTTTGTGTATAGTATCAAAACATTAAGATAGAAAATTATAAGAAATTCGAAGTGGGGAAAAAGGACAATTTATGTATTGAGTAACCTAGAGTTAAGACAAAAAAAAGAAAAGTTAATACAGATGAAATAGGAATATACATAGATCTACAGACAGAGGGAAGTAGATAAATAATTACCTAGCATGCAGGCTTACTCAAATGCCATTTCTAACCCATTCTACCACCTTCTCCACTAAAACCTACTGTTCC